ACCAGTACAGAGCAAAATTCAGGCTAGTTCTTATGATTTTAACTATGTATTTCTAGCTTCTAAAAGGGACTGAGGTGGGGGACTGCTGTTTCACATTTCAATTTTTAAAGTTGTTGGTTTTTTTTCTTTTTAAACACTTAGTAGATGAGTGGAATAAATGAAGACATGACAGCCTGTAGCTGCTCAGGACTGCCAAGGTACAGAAAGTCATCATGTCCACAGCAGAGCTGAGGGAATGAACCTCCTACACTGAAGGTAGTGAGTAGCCTTGGTTTGAAATCCCTGATGGAAGGAGATTCAAGCTCAGTTGTATGACTTCACACAGATCAAGGAGCACTCCTCCATTCCTCTTGGTTCTACCTGATCTATGTAGAGGACTGCTTTTAGCTGTGGCAGAAACAGCTAAAACTAACCCAATTAACTCCAGAATAGGGCACCTGGTGAGATGTTCCCATTTTCACTTCCTTCCAATCCATCTCAGGAAAAGAATCGACTCTCTGGTTAACCCAGCCACCTTCCCAACCACACTTCCCTCCACACCCGCTTCCCTGGAGGATTTTTGAATAAAAGAAAAAAGGCAAACCAAAAGATGACCTCGAAAAGTATCTCTTCTCAACAGGCTTTGCTGACAAAAGGCACAAGAAGGGCTGAACTGCTCCTTGCAATGCTTCTGACTCTTAAAACACGTCAGGAAAATACAATGAGAGGCACAAACCGCAGCCACCACTGAGCTCCAGCCCAGCGGCTTGGCTGGGAGGCTGCAGCTTGCCAGAGGCATTCAAACAGCAAACAATACTGCTGAGCTGGGGCAGGAATTCTTGGCAGCTGATGCCTCCACAGGAGGAAGTGATTCTGGTTCAAATACTTCCTTTACCACTGATAACAGGCTCCCAACGCTTGCAGTGCCAAGGCTTAACAGATAAGAGAGGATCTTCCATGCACTGTAATCCAATCCTGTTCCGACAGGGGTTTATTTTTAGAAGGCAGCTACACAAACACAGAGAGAAAGATACTGTGCTGTTGGATGGGGTAAATCTGTGTCAAATGCAAGATTGCTGAAGTGATAGGAATGTGCATTACAGCATTTTCTCTCCTTTAGCAATGGGTCTTTCAGGGACCAAAGAATATTATCTGGAAAGCCCAGAGGTGATCAGGTCTCCATATTCCTTACTAAAACCTACTCAACTAAAGATAATTTCTTAATTCTTTCAAGTGAAGAACAAATTCTTTATTTCTAGGAGGAAGTAAAGATATTTATGGAACACTTAATCACTGTTTCTCTGGTTCATATTCATGGCACGTGGCACTAAGTCAAGTAAAAGCACATTAGTTCCCAGTGTCAGAACAAGGGGCAACAGGTACAAGTTGGAACATGGGAAGTTCCATTTAAATATGAGGAGAAACTTCTTTATGATGAGGGTGACAGCGAGCCCTGGGACAGGCTGCCCAGGGAGGGTGTGGAGTCTTTTTCTCGAGATACTCAAGACCCCCCTGGATGCAGCCCTGGGTAAAGTGCTCTAGGTGATCCTACTTCAGTGGGAGAGTTGGACCAGACGATCTTGAGAGGTCCCTTCCAATTCCAGCACTTCTGTGATTTGCACTATGTTGGAGGTTTTGGTGAAATGGTATTAACAAGCCCTAAAGCCCACTGAAAGGCAGTGGGACTGTGTGACACACTGTGTGCCACAACTGCTGTGCTGAGATACTCATGTTACATGTGAATTCATTAACTTGAGCAGCTCTGCAGGTAAACACAAAACCTGGAACATGCAATTAAATTAGCCTGGGCTGAGCACCAGGCTCATGCATTGAACTGATGAGGATTATATTATTTTAAATTGCATTGGGATGATTTAGGCACTTCTGAAGTGAAATGCACAGTGAGCCCTTCTGCCTAAATGCATGTAAGCCCTGGAAGAGATGCTGAGGACTTCCAGCTCCACACTTCAGTGCTTGAATGAACACCAAGATGCTCTGCACAGCAATGGCTGTGCCAGTAACACTTGCTTTGTGTATTGATGAGTTGTGATGTTCTAGAGAGGAGAGGCATCACAGGCAGCTGTGAGCCAAGAGCTGTGGAAAGGCAGCAGAGCTTAAGAGAGAGGGAATCCAGCAGAACTGACCTGTGTCACCACAATCCAGCTGTGGCCTAATAACATCTTGTCTGGGAGACAGAGCACAGCGAGGCTGCACCTGCTGACAACTCTTACACATTGATCCTACAAGAGACTAAAACTTATTATGTGGAACCTGGATTTTCCAAGTAAAATTAAAAATCAATGATGTAGCCTTAAAATTTAAATGCAGTAATAAATGTAAGGAACTTGTGCCAAATACCAGTGAATTTCTGGCACTGACGCAACCTGTAAAGCCCATCCTGTAACTACAG